TATACAAAATCAGACCGATTATGGCCCCTTTCATACTAAATAGCACACATACAACTTATAGGGGATTTTTGCGTCATATATGAATACTGTAAAAAGTCTTATATGAGTTGTACATGACAAAAGTATGCAATGGTGTATGGTATTAGTAGAAAACACCCGATATTCATATACAAATCATTTAAAGTTCTTATATTGAATCATATGAGTTTTACATGACAAACATATGCAATCGTATATGGTATTAGTAGAAAATAACTTATTCATAAACAAATCATTTAAAGTTCTTATATTGAATCATATGCTAGTCAAATTAAAGTCCTATAGGATTTATACACATTTTGTGTCATTTTTTTATACGTGTTATATAAAGTGTGTCATACAGATTTCATGTTTAGATGACCAACATCACTTATATGAAGTTTGCAAATTTGGAAATTGTAACGACCTAACACTTTAAAAGAAGATGAAAATCACTCATCATGGAATTCTTCTCAGCCTTAGGAGTCGAGTATTACACCATCCTGGTGTTGATAGAACACCTTTTTACAAAGAAAAACAACACTAAAGAAGTTACCAGTTTTTCTTATTAGGGTTCTGCATTACCTACTTTAAAGAACTGTAAAATAAACTGACAAATCATTTAATCTGAAAAGAATAAATTCACTTTGAAATAAACACATCACTCTATATTACTCTTTCAAAACTTTATTTCAAAACAATCCAGAAAGTTAAATTGTAACCTTAGTCTGGGATTATAGCAGAATTCTGTTCATTGTAAAGTAAAAAATAAAGGCAAAATGCAAACAGTGGTTTTAACAAACTATTTATTTTATTAACGAACAAGCCCCTTTACATCATATGTTAACCTTTAAAATAAACAATGAATGCACACTATAGGCATTTCTGTCATCAGAATTATATGAAAGCTGCTTATCAAATGGTCTGTAATACTTCAAATCCTGAACATGTCAGTGAATGTAAGTCCTGTGTCAGTTAAGTTGATTCAGTACCTTCGACTCTGCAACAGTACAGCAGTGCTCGAGTCAACAACATTCAGCAGATGAAGAACAGTTGCAGGATACGAGTGGATCAGTTGTGTCCAGTTGCTAACAGTAGAGTTTCATAGAGCAGGAATGGCTGCGCAGATCCAACTTTCTCGAAAAATCCTGGAGTGCTGGTTCTCTAGACCAGGGGTTCCCAAACTTTTCCATGCCAAGGCCCCCCAAATACCACTAGCTTCTGGCCAAGGCCCCCCTTCTGCAGGATGTGTTATTGAACCCATCGACACTACTACAGCAAATGTATAAATAAATAAAACCTTTAGGTGAACATCAGATTATGTGATGGTGTTTGATACCAGCCTATCAGAAAGATTATAGAGATGCACCTATTACAATTTGCTAGGCTGATTACAATTTTTCATTGAGTTTGACCTGCCGATACAGATTTTAGCCGACCTGATTTCCTTTTTTTCTAACCACTTTACAACACACAAATATTTCTCTCTCTCTCTCTCTCTCTCTCTCTCATAAATATATATATATAGCATATATAAATATATATATAACATCATATAGTTTTACCCAAACTGAATAATTAAGACAAGTTTTAGTTTAAATGGGTAAATTTTCTATAAATATTTTTGAGTCTTCATTTTCTTTTCTGACATAGCCTACTCCAGTTCTTGTTAAAACACACTAGACATGCAAATTATGTGCATTTTAGGCACTTTTTGTGTGAAATCATATTTATTTTGTCCATCAAAAGTGTGCTTTCACTTTAATTGAGTGTGAGCTGCGCAGCAAAAATAGATTGTGCCGAAACCCGCTTCACTGCTGCTTACGCTCCTGCTCGCGCTGTGAATGCACTCATTGATAACATGTACGCCGAAAAAATACGCGCCTCTCGCGCTTGAGATCTGAAACGGCCGTAATTCACGAGGTTTCCTACATGTGCGTTCCGTGTGCATGTGGGATGCTGATGTTGCGCGATGTTAATCATGCGGCGCCCGAGTGCATTAGACCGGCATAAAATCAGCATGTCAGACTGATCGGCCGGTCGACAATCACATGAAAATCGTCCAATTCCGGTCACCAGCCAATCAATCGGTGCATCTCTAAAAGATTAGCATTACAAGTATAATGTTCAGATAGGCTATGCACAAATTATTATAATGCTATTTCATTACAATACTCATAATAATATAAATATCAATATTTTTACTTTTTTTTTACTTTTCTTCCAACTTGCTGCGGCCCCCTTGGCGCCCCCTGGTGGCCCCCAGTTTGAAAACCCCTGCTCTAGACAACACAACACAAAACCAGACCGATTACAATTAATACAATTTGTGTTTTATAAATACAGCAAGTTTATGTTGGAAAAAGTTCAAACATCTAACAATAATCGGTAGGCGCGAATTTGACGAGCTATTCGCGTCTGGTGTGAACGCAGCATAATGATGTACCTTTATACCTTTCTGGGGCTTGAAAGTGGTAGTTGCATAGACTGTAAATGGAGGGGCAGGAAGCTCTCAGATTTCATTAAAAATATCTTCATTTGTGTTGTGAAGATGAAAGAAATTCTTACGTTTGGAACGACATGAGGGTGAGTAATTAATGACGGAATTTCCATTTTGGGTGAACTAACCCTTTAAAGGGTAACTAAACCCTAAACCAACTTTTTTTAGTTAATCTGTAAGAATGCAGCTTCATAAATGCTGTTCATTGATTCGAGTAACTTTTTTGACATTTGGATATAAAGTGTTTTAATTCTACAATATATGGTATAAAAACGTCTGAGTGCTGCCCTCTTCAGGTTGAACGGTGGCTACTGCAGTTGAATTTTCCTATTGGATGTTTGCTGGGGTTCGTGACATAGGCGGTTGTTGGTGACGTAAGCAGGTTCCAGCTCACCACGCCCTTGGTACGAGCTACCACGCCCTTGGCAGTATAAAAACCATCTGGTTTCGTCAAAACCACTGTGAGTCAGGAGTTGGAATTGCGAGTATTTAAAACGATCAGGACAGAGTGTTTTAGCATCTATTTAGCATAGCATTTATATAGTTATTTAGATTTTTTCGTGTAGCCTATGTAGTCAATTAGCATATGCCTACAGAGAGCGCGCGCTATTGACATCAACTCGACAAAACTCATCAGATGCCGATCGCGATGCGGGAGTTAAAGGAGCTGTATGTAAGAAATTTATTTCAATTAATCATAAAATGGCCCTGAAATGTCACTAGACATTAAGAAACCATGTACATTTCAAATACTTATATCACTGACAACAGTAGTCTGGCCAGGATATTGTCATTTAAAAATTGCAGTTGCAGCCCTCAACTGATGTTGATGTTGTCATGTTGTGTTTTGGTCTGATGCTCCACCCTCCACCTATCTACCAATCACGAAGTCAGTAGTGTTGCGGCATCCGGGTTGCCAGCTCTGCTCTAGTTACCACAGCTGCAGCTCGTCACGTTCCTGCTGGATCCTGCAGCCGATCTGGCAACCTCGAGTCAGGGAGGAGGAGGAGGGGATACTGGATACTACAGTAATTTGACAGTGATTGCAGTACTAGTTTTGGCCACAATCTTACATACAGCTCCTTTAAGACCACAGTTTGAGCCAGCGGCTCGAATTGATATGGCCCTGTGTCCACAGACAACTCACCCTCCTCCACTTCAGGTGAAGCTGGGGGAGAAAAGTCCTCGACTTCAAATGACCGCTCTGTTGCAAAGCGTCACTCGGACTCTAAAATGGAGAGTGACTGGAGTGACTTGCGTCACTCCATTCACTCTCCATTTTAGAGTCTGACAGCAGCTGTCAATCAATCCGTCACTGCGGGTCTCAGGTGCACGCCCCCCACTCAGCCCCGCCCTCGGCTCGTCCCCTCTATCGCTGCTGGGCTCTGCCCACTTTTCCAGCATTTTTCAAATATTGCCAGTGGGTGGAGTCAGGCTCTGACCAGGGGTTTAGTTACCCTTTAAGAATAAATTAAGACACCTACCTTAAGAAATCTCACTAATAGTCAGCCGCCGCAAGAATCTGTGTTCCCTTTTTGTGGCTGTGATGTTGGACAGGTGATGGGCAGATATTTCCCAATCAGTGGAGTCTAAAATTAAACAGCAAGAAAACATCTACCTGTTAAATCATGAAAACAATTGGTTAGAAAACTAATTTTAAGTAAAAAATAAAAATTACTTTTGTAAAGTAATTTGACTGGACAAATTCAAAATGAGTGTTAAGAAACACAGAAAATCTAGTTATACCAAATAGCAACAAAGCTATGATTATTTTTTATGATTGTGCGCATGATTCTCTCATGTTATCTGTTCAATCTTAACATCACCAGGTTCTAGTCTGTACAGTCTTTAAACACCAACCCTGGTTTAGCCTTAGCCACTCAGTGCATCATAGAAATGCTCCTAGCAAACACAAATAGCTAAATCAATACATTTAAACATGAAAGCATAACCACCAAACATCAATCAAAAGTTATTCTGATAAGTACATTTTTCATAAATATTTATTTTGAAAGAATTAGTTACCCATTCTAAGAAAATCAGTCCTCCAAAAAAGGAAATAAAGTGACAATTTCACGTGCATTGTTGGTCTGCAGTGTTATTCTTCTGTTTTTCAGTTAACTTATACTAGGTGTGCTGGTAAATGAGAGTAAAAGATAGTTTGAGGATAAATACATACTTTTAATATTTGCACATCACAAATATAGTCATAAAACAATATAAAACACGTATTGTAATGAGTTAAAACACTTACTATTTGTTTTTACTGTTAAAAGCAAAATCCGTGTCAGCACTGCGTCACGACTCAAAGAAGATGCAGGCCTAGTCTTCTGTGGGGCTCCCAAGATGGCAGCGTTGTAGGAGGACGTGTGCTTGTCGCTCTGCGAGCAATTTCGAAGGGTTTATGATATTACTGCCTTTAAAAAAAAAAAAAAATTTGATGCAAGAACCTTCAGAAGAAAAGAAATAAGGAAAACGAACATATAGCCAGACGTAGTAATTGTAGACTACCACGAATGCCCAAGTCTAAAAAGAAAAAGAGGAACTCGGAAAGGTTAACGATTTCTCAACACGTGTCGCTAAACATGGAAGATAACCAGTCTCAAGAGTCGGTAGCCCAGAATCCTTTGAGTGGAGACGAAATGTGCTGGTATGAAGCCACCCCAGAGCCATTGTCAGATGCCGATTTATTTCCCATTTTGGCGGCGGAGACACCAGAGAAGCCTGCCAAGAAAAGGAATCGTGAATCTCAGTCAGGTGGGCGAAACTGGGAGACGGTTACTGCTGAACTCATGGAGGCGATACGAGCATTGACCAGCAAGCAGGATGAAACGCTCCGGAGAGTCTCTGCTATAGGCATAACTACTGAAGCTACTTCCAAACGGGTTGAGGAGCTGACAACAACTGTCAAACAGCTGTCACTGGATGTTCAACAACACAAGCAAACACTGGAGAAAATGAAAGTTGCCAATACAAAGCTCCAAGAAGAAAATAAGCACCTGAGAGAAGCTGTTGCTGAGTGTCAACGCTACAGCAGAAGGTGGTCACTTAAGATGCACGGCGTAAGGGAGTCAAGAGATGAAGACATCAGAGGCAAGATAATCGACATCCTTGGGAAAATGGCACCAAAGCTTCGAGAAGACTTGAAACACGGCATTGACATCGTCCATCGCGTGGGGAAACTGAGAGATGACGGCGCTGCGAGATCAACTATAGTTTTGTTTGCCCTTCGTCGCCTTCGTGATGCCGTCTGGAAAGAAGCTAAAAACTCTCAGTATTTGCAGGAGAATCGTCTCAGGATCACCGAAGCTCTTTCTCCGGAGGACAGAGCGGCTCGGGAGAAACTCTGGCCTTTGATTAAGAAGGCGCGTGATGAAGGGAAAAAGGCTTCATTCCGTGGTGCTTCGGCTGTCATCAATGGAAAAGTTATTGACTGTCCGGAATAGCCTCGTTGGCTGAGCATCTTCTTTCACCAAAGGTATTAAAGTACACATAAGCCCACTGTTCATGTGGCATTTTTGGAAAATAACTTAAATGGTCTATTTTGTTTTGGAGATTTAATACAACGTAAGTAGCCAGGCTACCTTGTCATTTAGACTTGGATTAATCTTCCTTTTTGTTGTAGCCACAGGCAGGCTTGAATACTCTGCCTGCGCTCGTTACAGGCTGAGATGGTTGAGCACTTAATACTAATGCTACCTTAACAGAATTTACTCTGTTTATTTATTTATTTAATTTGTTAAAGTCCTTGTTGGACTTTAAATGAGATCATGTTAGTTTCATTTACTAAGTGCAACCGTCTCGATCGTTCTTAATTCCAAGTTGACGGCTATGTGTATTGTGTACAAGGTTCTTGCTATTTTAAGGCAGGTTATCATCACCTTCTTGTAAGGTCTTTACATACTTTTTGCGTTCAATAGCACTTTCAGGTAATTTCTGAATCTGTTCTATATCTCTGTTCCTTTATGGATTTTTTGTTTAAACGTCTTAACGTCTTGTCTTTAAATGTGAGAGGTATTCGGGACTTAACAAAGAGGAAAGCATTATTTTTATTCTGTAAAAGGTCTGAAGCTGACTTGATTTTATTACAGGAAACGCACTCTTGTGACTCTGATACAGGGTTCTGGAAAGCTCAATGGGGTAATGTTGCTCACTTTAGTCATGGTTCTAACCATTCTGCTGGTGTCTCAATCCTTGTGCATGGTTTCAAGGGGGATATTCTGGAAGTTGTGCCCTCTAGTGACGGAAGATGGATAACAATAATAGTCAAGCAGGACAATACAGTTTTCATAGTTTGCAATGTGTATGGATTTAATTCACACTTTGACAACAAGAACTTATTTAATTCCATTACTGGCAAGCTAAGGGATTTAAAGGGAAAATACGTAAATGCCTATATAATTCTTTCGGGGGATTTCAATAAATGTCCTGACGAAATAGAGGATAGATACCCACCTAGAGCGGCTCGCTCCTCCCAGGGAAGCGATTTAATCTCTTCTCTGTGCTCAGACCTATCCTTGACTGATGCTTGGCGTTTTTTTAACCCAGACATCCAAGATTTCACCTGGAGTAATAGAAGTCTGACTCTGAAGTCAAGAATTGATTTATTTTTAGTTTCTTCTTCTTCTCTTCAATTTGTTAATGAGGTTAAACATGTTTATGCACCCCTTTCGGACCACAAATTAATTATTTTGAAACTAGGCTCCATTGACCCGCAATCGGGCTTGAGAGGTTATTGGAAGTTTAACAATACTCTTTTGAGTGACGACTCCTTTAATGATTCTGTTAAGCTTCTAGCAAAAGAGATCTTCGAGATTTACATTAATAATGGACATAAGAAAAAGTGGGAGTACTTCAAGTATAAAATTAGACAATTGGCTATAAAGAGATCTAAGGAAATAAAGAAAGAAAAATATAATTCAGAACATGTCTTGATGAATAAATTAACTCAATTAATGTCAAAAGGAAACATTAACCCAGAAGAAGAAATTGAGATAAGAGCCATCCAAATTCAGATAGACCAAATATATACAGATATGGCAAAAGGGGCATTTATTAGATCAAGGGCTAAGTGGCTGGAAGAGGGCGAAAAGAACACCAATTATTTTTTTGCTTTAGAAAAAAGGAATGCTAAAAGAAATTCTGTAACTGAGCTCTACATTGATGGCACCCTTTCTAAGGATCCTACTCACATTTCTAAATTTGTTAGCCTCGTTTTATGGTAATTTATATCAGTCTAATTTTAACAGAGTAGAAAGTGCAAGTTTTTTTGAAAAAATTCAGAACAGTATCCCTATTATTAGTGAAGATTATAAAGCTTCTTGTGACGCTGATCTCTCTTTAAATGAGGTTAAAAATGCTTTGTTTGCTATGAAGAAAGGAAAATCTCCCGGGATAGATGGGCTAGGAGCGGAGTTCTATACTCATTTCTGGGAGCTTATTCAACTCCCTTTATTGCACATGTATAGGGAGTAGGGCTGGGCGATATGGAGCAAAAAATATATCTCGATATATTTTGCTATATCTCGATATTCGATATATATCTCGATATCTTTACAGGAAAATGGATGTGAATACAACTCAAAATATAGGCCTACAATCAATAGAAAATTAATTTTCCATAACAGAATGTAACCAAATGAGAAAAATTAAACACAGGGCCTGAATTTCGTCATCATTATTAATCACGTGATTCATATACAGAAACTGAATAAAGAAATCAAATGGAAAATAACACTGAGTAGTATTTTAGTCCTGAATAAATTAAATACATAGGTTATTAATCCTGATTCCTTTAACTTAAAGCTATCTTTTGTTGTATTGACAACAAAATGAATGACACACATATGGCTGCCGTCACTTTAAGAGCTAGTGCACGGATCCTGTGTTCATTATACTGGTATGCGTTTTATGCTTATTAAAGACAAAACCGACTATGTTTAGAGTATACTCACGACGACCGAAATTGACAATTTTGCGTGTTAAAGCAATATAATCCGCGAAAAATAACTTTTGTTACTGGCCAGCTGTTCTTAAGGCGGATTTTCTATGAATGTTTAAACTGGTAAGACTTAAAAAGACGTGCAAATGGTAAACTTCAGTCACGATGCACTGCTGGCCCGATTGTGCGAGTGAATATCCATCATGTCCCGACTCCTAAACGCGAGTGTGTTTTATCGCCGCAGCTCTTGATGCTTGCCTTGCACAACACATTATGAGAGACGAGAAAGAAGCGGCACCGCTGAACACTCACGCTGTTTGTGAAATTGCGTCTGGCAGATAGTTGTTAAAAGAATGATTTGATTTTATAATCTGTGTGGATTACGATTGCGGGAATTTCCCGCATTATAAATGGGAGACCTGCGGGAATGATTAGAATTATGCGCAATACCCGCGCCGAAATTCGAGCCCTGCAATAGTTTAAAACAAGACGTTTGTAGTAGCCTTCTGATTACTGGAGTCCATTAATCGAACTTCCATGCCTCTTATATAGTAATTATATATTGTAGTATGTAGGCTACCAATTTACTAATGCAATTAATGCTCACACTCGGCTTCTCTCGTGCTCTGTCGCTCGCGCGCAGACACACTCGGAGTTCTGTAGCCTCCGGGCTGGTTGCGGATGAGACAATAGCTTGTTTTCATATGACGTCACGCCACTGCGTTGCCATGGCGCGAAATGCAAATGGAGGGCAGGAAGTGATTTGCTGTATTTAGAAAGCACTATAACAAACTCAAAATGCCTATGTTTTGCGTCGTTCATGGTTACTTAAATCGATCAAACCACGAGGAGTTTTTATCGTGTACCAAAAGTTGTTGTTCATAAAGGGGGAAAATGCAAGAAATTGACCGAAAAACTCTGGAAAAACGGCTTGCAAACCTACGTCTGCGGTCGGGAGGAGCCGAATGGGAAAATGCCCGTTTGTGCAGTGATCACTTCGTCAATGGTGAGTTAATACAACTTAAGTGGCTATGTTTGTGTAACATGTAACATTTACGAACTTTGTAAAGTCAAAGTATGTCTGTAAGACGAGGTAGTTGCTGATATCTACCACCTCGATGGCAGGAAAATCTTTCAATTCAGTTGAAAATCGCTCCTCTTCATAACGTAAGGATCACGTCCAACATATGTTTGATTTTTTGTTTATATCTTTCTCTTGTAATAGCTGTAAAGTAGTACAGTACGGACTTTCCTCCATCTCGTCCATTGCGCTCTTCACTCCCCTGCCCTCCATCTGAATTTCGCGCGTCATCATAATCACGTGACTGAAACCCAGCTATTGTTGAATGAGACAACACGCGAGGTGAGGGGGAACAAAAGCAAGGAGGCGGGGCGAGCACAGCACAGAGAAGGCAAACTAGCAAAGTGGCAAAATCAGGATTAAATATAAACAATATATCGATATATACGATATGTCAAAATCCATATCGTGTTTAAAAAATATCTCGATATATTTTAAATATCGAGATATCGCCCACCCCTAATAGGGAGTGTATTGATCAAGGGGAAATGACCACAACAATGAAGCAAGGTATTATTTCCTTGATCCCGAAACCTGGTAAAGACCCTCATTTAATTGATAGTTGGCGTCCAATCACATTATTAACTATAGATTATAAAATTCTGGCCTCTGTATATGCATATAGATTAAAATCTGATTTAAATTCAATAATTGCAGAAACTCAAACGGGTTTCATGAAAAAACGCCACATTAGCAATAACATAAGACTCATTTTAGACTTGCTTGACTATGCTGACAATATTGATTCTGACGCCTTCATTTTGTTTCTTGATTTTTACAAAGCGTTCGACACAATCGAACACCCTTTTTTAATAGAAGCCATCAATGCATTTGGTTTTGGAAGCCCTTTTGTCGACATTGTCAGCATGTTCTACAAAGATATAAACAGTTCTGTTATAATTAATCAAAATACTTCTCCACGATTTCAGATTAATAGGGGGGTCAGGCAGGGGTGCAACATTTCTCCCTTTTTATTTATCTTAGTAACCGAACTACTAGCTATACACTTAGTAAAAGAAGTACATTTTGGAGGTATAAAGATTTTTGGAAAAGAAATAAAGATCTCACAGCTGGCGGACGACACCACCATTTTTTTGAACAACAAGGACCAGTTGAGCATTGTCTTTGAACTGGTGGAGAAATTCTCTTCTGCGTCTGGTTTAAGGCTTAATCGATCCAAGTGTGAGCTGTTCCCTCTTCATTGTTGTAGTGACTCTGCTATTGATAACATTCCAGTTAAACAGAATGTAAAATATTTAGGTATACATGTATGTAAAAATATTATAGTTAGACAGGACTTAAATTTTTCGAATAGGATACAGAAAACCAAATTAATATTCAACTGCTGGCTACAAAGAGACTTGTCCGTTTTAGGTAGAGTATTACTCTCCAAGGCAGAAGGCCTTTCTCGCTTTGTCTACCCCTCCTTGTCTCTTTTTGTAAAGGACTCAATTGT